TCTGCTGGAATTGAGCCTGTTCGGCATGGGGAAGAGGGGGACTCCCAGTGCCTGTGGGGAGGTTACAGGGAAGATGGAGGTGGACTCTTTGCAGTGACTAAATAGAAATGGGGGTGATTCAATTCCATATAAGGGAAAGCTTTTTCACTGTGACTGGGTTGCTGGAGAGGTTCTGTGTTCTCTGTCCTTGGAGGTTTTCAAGACCCAGCTGAATAAAATGCTGAGTAACCTGGGTTGACCTCACAGCTGAGCCTACTTTGAGGAGGAGTTTGTGCTTGAGACCTCTTGAAGTCATCTCCAGCCTGAATTACTGTTTTCATGGTTCTGTGAAACCCAACCTCTAGCCGAAAATAATGCTGCCAGCAGTTTGGTGGCAGTAGAGGGAGAACTTTCTTCTACCTTTTAAAACTGAATATTTACTCCTTCTCCCTGAAGATAGCCTTCAGTGTTTAAACTAATCTCTTAGTTACTGCAGCAGTGGACAAGGGGAGCACATGGTGGGTTATTTTGACTTAGTTAAGGAAGAGTAATACTTCAGGAGTTCAACTTGTTTGCTAACTGATGGTTAATGATAGAGTGGTTTGAGTCACATTTAAACCTTTAAGTGTCTTTCAGGATTATTATTTTCTTTTTTAGTTATTTTAAAACCATTTAATATAAAATGGGAGTATTGTGTTTCTAGAGACTTGCTCTCAGTTTATTTTGATTTTAGTTGTAAAACCAAGCAATTCTTTCTAGTGGTAAGCTTGAGTCATCACATAACTATAAACAAAGACTGTATACAAAGTTTAGGTGGTGTGGACAGCTGTCTCTTCTTCTCACACTACCACCACCATTCTGTAACAGTGAATCACACAAATTAAATGGAAGAGGGGAAAAAAAAAGCTCATGTTGTTAAGAGTGGTGATGCATATGTAAAATGAGTGAGGATTAGAGTGTCTTCCTAGTATCCATTGCTTGATTGTGTCAGTTAAGTCTCATTTACATCACAGGGAGATGGGGAAGGGAAGTCTACAGCACTGACACTGAAAGTATCACCAGATCACTCCTGGTTTTCAGGAGCAAAATAAGCATTTACAATTGCTGGTTAGAAAGCCCATGTATAATAAATGGACGTAAAGCTTTAAAAGCTCACCAGGAAGCTCTCAAGGATTTTTCCTTTAAATAATGAAATATTTTTTGTAAACCTGGAAAAGTACTACAAAAGGGTGTTATCTTAATCTTTGCCCAAGGCGTAAAGGGGATTGTGTCATTTTTCAAAACACTGATGGTAGTCACCTTTGTAGGTGACTACCTACAAATTATTTTCAAAAAATATTTTGAAGATTTTTAAATTGACTTTTGTTTTCTCTCTAATCTTGGAACAATGAGGCCTGTGTATGTCATCATCATATTGCTTCATTAAAATATTTGCTCACTCTGAGCCATTGCTTTATCAGCTACCTGAGTGCTGAAAATGTGCTTAGCTTAGTGCTACTCTACGATTTCCTGTAGGTATGTTCCATTTCATTCCTCTTGACAGGAATAATCTCTCCTTGGGTAGCAAATTAAATTTGACATGTGCTGCAAATCGGAGTCAAAAAGGTAAAGAGATCTCTAGAAGTAATGGAAGTTCGTCACCACTTTTCCTCTAATAAGGCCTGATTGAGCAAAAACCTGTTCAGATGCAGAATTCTTTGTGTTGCCATCAAGCAAATTGCTTTTGTAGTTGCTATCAATCAACTTTAGTTTACTCAGTTCTTTATGCTATCCAGTGTTTGTTCCCTGATACAGGTTTGTGTTACTTGTTTTACTACATGCTAATCCTTCTCTTAGCATTGTTTTTATATTACAAGGTTGGAGAATAAAATTTTAAAACTATCCTGATGATAAACCATATTGTGTTAGGAGTGGAACTGTTCTGTGTCTGGCCCTGGTTTGTTCTACTTAGTACTTGTCAGATCATGATCAGTAAAACATCAGTTGTATTTCTAAAAATAGGACAGAAAAAGTTACATTGTTTCATATTTAGGTTTGGAGTGTTTTAAGAGATGGGGGTAAGAGACATTTAATTTGAGCTTCAGGCTTTTGGATCAACACTTAAGCAAGATTAGTACAATAAATATTTAATTAAAATTTTAGGATGTTTTAAAATTATTTTTTAATTTAAATTCTTACTGTGACAGAGCTATTAAGATACTTGAATACAGGTGTCTAAAGCCATTTAAAACTCTTTAGAATATAATCTCTGGCTCCCTGCAGACAATTTAAAATGGCACATATTCTGTTGTGTTTTGAGCCCTCTCTGCAGTCAGATGTTTTGTACACGGCAGTGTAAAACACAGACACCTGTGTGTGGATGCCTAAATTGCTTTCTAGTGGAATGCTTTTTGTCAGCTGTTTTCAGGTGGTTATAACACAAGATTACATTGCTTTGGTGTTTTTCAGGAAGGAAAGAGGAAATAAATAGCCAGTTAAGAACTTTGGACCTGTACAATACTACAAGCAGTACATTTATTTAAAAAAAACCCCAAACCCTAAAAACAAACAAAAACCAAACCAATAAGGTAACCACTGGCATGTCTCGCTCTTTTAAAAGGAAGTACTGATGCTTGAACGTTGAAATCCAAATGTGACTTGCAGTGGTCACTTACTGTAGTAAAGCCATTAATTGCTTGAAACATAAACCGTTTAATGCTAATTTCTAAAGAAAATTCTAATTTTCTTTAATTACTTGCTTAATTAAAAAAAAAAAACGGTTTGCCTTTGCACAGATTTTTTTAAGCTTTATTATTAGTATCATAGTGGCCAGAATAATTCTGAACTGAGCTGTGGTCTGACTTGAACCTGCACATGTCACGTGAGTCTGGGGGGAGTCTTTGTTCTCATTTTTCTTTTTTTTTTGTATTCTGTCTCCCCACAAAATGTGCCAAAACAAGGAAGGTGACTGGGGCGTCTACAGCAAGATAGACTTACAGTGGATGTAACTGGGTTTGAAGAAGTTGGTTATATCAGTGTGTATTGTTTTATCACTTTTGTGGAAAGAATTATTAGAGGTGGAATGAGCCTACACACAGGTATGATTAAAAGGAATAAAATAATGAAGTATTGCATTTGGAGTGAACTGTGGTTGCCATGAGGATGCAGGCGGGCTTAATTTTGAGATAGTGTCTGTAGGCTGTTTGTAAAAATGGTTATTGTTGGAAGAGTGGAAGAGATGATCTGTGGTAGGTAGGTAGGTGAAAACTACCTAATGCTGAGGTTTCATTGGTTAATTTCTGAGACTTACTTTATGAAGTACACTTGTTTTTTTGTAGCTGATGGATAATGTAGCAGGTATAAAATTGCCAAATATTAGAGAAGTTGTTAGTGCCTGTATTTTTGCATACAGTATTCAAGGGAATACTGTCCTTTTCCTGTCCTTTCTGTGAAGCTAGAGGAAGTACAGATTCAAGTTCCGCGTGTCCCAGGAATCCACTAGGAAGGCAGATTTCGGTCATGAAGATCCCAGGGTTGCCATTTTGGAGGGCCTGTTGTTGTCTGACATTTTAGCAACCACTGTGAACATTCTCTTACACTCTGAACATGACACTTTCTACTATCTGCTTGTATGTCTTCCTTTATGCTCCCAGCTTACAGTTGGTTTAAATCTTTAAAAGGCAATGATTTTCTTGGTTTTACCACATATGAAGTAATACTAGAGAATTTCAGGTGACAGTAATTGGGAAAGGTAGTTTTCAACTGAAAATAACCTTCAAAAAGATTTACAGTTTGATGTTACAGATGTTAACTTACAGATTAAGTAGTGCTTTCTTGCTTAACACAGAAATAATTTTAAATCTTATTTAAATATTAAAATAAGCTATATTTGTTGTTGGCATTTAATAAGGTTAACATAATGGAAGGTAGTAGGCTTTGTCAGTTTTCTCAGACTGTGATTTGGCAGTCTTAGACTGCAGTTGTGTTTGATAAATTTCTGTTGATTAGAAGGAATCCCCAAGACTTCCATGAAAGTTTTAGTAATAAGAGTGTCAGGAATAGAAAATCTAAACCAGAACTGTTCAGCAAGCAAGAGGCACCCCGGGGTGGGGGGGAAGAGATGAAAGAAGATGAAAAAAGAATGAGTAATGTTGTCAGGATTGTTCTTATAGCTATGTGAAAGACATCAACCTGTAGTACAGTAGGAGAGGAGCAGGAATTTAAGTAGAATGTGTAGAATTCAAAATACTTAATATGCTGTCAAGTTACATAAACTGTAGTCTTGTTAAACTCACCTTTTCTTTGAAATGCTAAGGGTTGGGGGGATGTCAAGTGAAATGGCTGCAGTGGTGTTATGCAACAGTGGTAATTTCGACCTACGCTCTGCTTTTCTGCAGAAGAAGTTGAAGAAGAGTCTGAAACTACAATTGAGGTTGATTTGACTGATAAACAGAAACATCAGTTGAAGCACAGAGAGCTCTTCCTTTCTCGCCAGTATGAGTCCCTTCCTGCAACGCATATCAGGTAAGAAAAAGTAAATACCTTTTATCGGTGTGTTCTGTTGAGGTGGTTTTATCTGTGTATGCTGTTGAGGTGGTTGGCGTGCCAGTGTCCCAGCTGCTTGAATGCCTTGGCCTTTATCTTGCACAAGGGTGTGATTGACCACAGCTGAGTTGTGCCAGGTTGTCCCATGAACTGCCTTTGTTTTTTTCCTTCTGTCACCTCATTTTTGGGCCTTGGAAGGGGCAAGAGTCTTGGAGCTGCTGGCTTGCCAATTAGAGCGTCAGTTGGTAATATGGTATAAAGTCAGTTTGTTCCTACTTGTGAAGAGTTGCTGTTTTAATTATTCTGTGTGCCAGAGGAACTTTGACCATTTTGCTTGCAGAAGGAAACCACAGATGGGTTTGGAAAGGAGACAGTGGCTCAGTGGTCAGATCTGCAGTTTAGGGCTGCATGCATTTAAAAATAAAATTTCCCCAACTTCAGTAAATGTGACCAAGTCATGATTGAGTTTGGCCAAATGTTGCAAAAGCACTTCAAGTATTGTTTAAATTGCCCTGGTGCTAATGTGGGAAGAGGTTTTGGGCTTGTTGATTTCTTTCTGTACATGATGTAAGCACTCATGTCACTCCTATTTAGCAGTGAAGCAAATTCGTTTTGTGTTGGGGAGTGGGGAGGATGATATGCTTAGAAACGGAAAAGGGAGAACACAGTGATGGGGAAGAGTGTATTAAGTATAAACGAAGGTTCTCTTACATTGCATTCTGAAGGAATTTTTGTTTTGTCATTTCATCCAGCTTCCCTTAGCTGTTTCAGACCATAAATGACTAGAAGCTACTGAAAAAGAAGTGTATATGCTCTAACTGAAGAAACCCTTTGTATTTTCTCTTACTGGCAAAAGTGTGGCTTATCTTTCTTGCTGCCGACACAAAAACTAGGCGTTGGAAATTTTTGTATTAATTTCCTGTGCTTGATACAACTGCTTGTTCTCTGCCTTTGAGAAAGTCATTTAACTGTCAAATCTCTGCTTCTCCAACTATAGCATAGAGATAATAATCCTGCACAGTTTCTTTTACTTACTTTGACATGTAGATATCGAAATGCGGTATTCTCTTCATGGAGAGAAGATTACATAGAAGTATTGTGAATGTCTTCTCACCTCACAACTCAGGGAGCAAATACAATAGGGGTTCTCCAGTACATACTTCATAAAGAAGCCAGAGAAACACGTGAATGCACAGTACATGCAGCACTCTGCAGGAGGCACATGCAGAGTGATGACTTGCAGCTACTTTTCAGGGCAGATGAATGCAGTAGGGCTGTGCTGTCACATGTTACTAAGGCCTTTACCAGTTGAATTCTGGAACAAGCTTTATGTAGTCTAATGATGTTTGAAAAAACTTTTAATTTTAAAAGAAACAAGAAGGAAAACACACTGCAAAATACTCCTTATTTTGCTTTTTAACTTACTAATGTTCAGATTCTGTGATTCTCAGTAGTTTTCAACACTTTCATTAATTAGCTTGCCCTGTAAACCTGATAGAAATAATGTGAAGGTGGTAGTACTCCAACTTTCTCCTATCAGTACTCCAGAATATCCAAGGATGGAGATTCCACAGCCTCTCCGAGTGTGTTTGTGTTTGACTTCTGTCATGGGGAATGTTTTTTTCTGACATCTAATTGGGATTTCCCATGTTTAAACTTAATGTCTACTGCCTCTTGTCCTGTTGCTGTGCTTCTCTGAAAGGAGGCCGGCTCCATCTTAATTACCTAATGAAAAGATATATAAGTGCGGACAGCAGTAGGAGTTTTGCTTTTAGTTGTTGTACTTTTGAAGAGTTAACAAATCCAGTTTAGTGTTGAATCCACATCTGTAGACTTGAAAGTGTATTCAGGGAACTTGTCCAGATTGTTAATAAAGGTGTTAAACTGTTGGCCCCAGTATCAGCACTTGAGGGATGCCCCCAGTATCAGCTGCCAGCTGAACTTAGTACTACTCACTAAAACCTTTTCAGCCTGGTGGTCCAGCTAGTTTTCCAACCTTACTGTCTACTTACCTAGTCCATATGTTACGTGTCTGGTTAAAGGGCATGAAGGAGCACATTCCAGGCCTTGCTGAAGTCAGGGTAGGTGACAGTCACTGGTCTGCCAAGCCAGTCATCTCCATATAGAAACCTAGCAGATACTCATGCAATAAAAGTCTGAGTAGCTCCGTTCTGTGTTCCTGTGCTCTTGCCACCTACATTTTTAGCCCCTAAATAGGAGCAATTGGAATTACAGGAAAAATTAAATGGTACAGTGGAATAGAGTGGAGATCAGTTCTCTCAAGAATAAGAATGTAAAAGCTCAGTCCTTTTGGAAGGAAGAGGAGAAAGCTAAAAGTGATTTTAAGAGAATGGAGGAGGCTGAACCATCTACAGTTGCTTTTGGCAGCTGCAGATCTTGAACTTTTGCTGACATCAGCCAAGAAATGAAGCGGAGTTTACTTGCCTTTCTGCTTGTAATTTAAAGGAATAAAATAATTTTACCTGATGTAGTATGTTTTTATTTCATTTTTACTAATACACTTTTACTGCTTTTGTTTCATCTTGCTTCTTAACTACTCTTTCTATGATTACAGCTTCCTTCCCCTTCCTCCCTGAAACCCCTATGACTGAGAGTACTGTGTTTGTAATTGTGAGTTAGTCTCGTTTATACACCTGGTGCCACTATTTTATAGTTGATATACCTGGCAGTTATTCTAGCAGGTTAGAGTTATTTGATGTGCAAGTCTAATTCTGAAGCTCTTTGGTCGGTAATGTTGAGTTTTAAATAATTCTGATGTAATTTCCTTTGGAATTACTGAAATACAGTTTCATACCTTATTCTCATGCTTTTTATTTTGCTGTGTATGTTAAATGTAACTCTGGAGATATGATTTGTTTTGTTACAAATATTGGGACTTGTTTAGACCTCATGTTGTTTCCTTTACATTATGTATCACTATGGCATTCTAGTAGCTTTAGGAAGTGATATAAAATTAGGCAACCAAAAAAAACCCAGGTCAGCACCATTCTGGAGCGATGGCGTGTGGTACAGTACAAGCTGATGTATTAGTTTGGGTCTCAAAGATAAGTTTATTATCCTAGTTGATGCCTACTTGTCAAGTTACAAGTGAAACTATTCCCTCCCTTATCTGCTCAAATACGTAGCACCCCTCCAGTGAATTACCTCCTTCCTTCCTCATCCTGTAAGTTACAGATGCAGTTTTGCAGGCACTGTAATCCCCAGTCTGCCGGCCAGACTCGCCTCACGCTCCTTCATTAATGTCGCACAGTGAATGCACCCCGAGTTCATGCAGATGGCTCCTGTCAGCGGTGCTGGCCCCAGAGCGGGGCTGAGTTGAGACGGAGTGCTGTGTAATTCCACTTGGCTTTTCAGAGATTTGAGCATTACCAAATAAAGCATTTTGAAAAGGCTTGAGAAGGGGTGGGCGGCAGGGGGGAAATGTGGAAAGTTGCCATCAAGGTGAAATTGTTTGCTGGTGTTGTAAAACGTACCATAAAACTTAGAACGTGGTGAAATGGGGCCCTTGTATAAAAATCTGCAAATAGTTATGTTGTTGGAGAGATGCACTGGGTTATCTGACTTGGGCCTTAAATTTATTTTTCAGTCTTATGGTCTCAAGAGTTAATAGGTGATAAACATGTTTAGATTGCTGTAAAAGATTGCATTAACTTCAAAGATTATGTGTAATTGCTTTTAAATTTAATACTTCGTAGTTGTGTGGAAGAATTTATTTATCCATCAGGGTTCGTTTCATTATCATTGCTTAGTTACTGGTTGTTATAACTGTTGTTTCTGTCTTGGGTTGTCTTTTTAGTTATTTAAGTGTTTGAAAGGTGTGTATAAGCCAAGCATTCCCAGATGTCGTATTTAAATAAGGTGTGTATCTTTTGGGCTGCTCTCTACTGCAATAACACATCCAGCCTCTAAAAAAAAAAAAAAAACCCCACCAAAACCAAACAACACCCACCACAGAAAAAACAAACAAAAAAAACACCAACAAAACCCAAACCTCATTTATGCAAAGTAAAATGAGGCTTGAGTACAGACTATTTGACTAAAGTCAAAACAGCTTGAGAAGGAGAAAAACTTCAGAGACTGTTGGCCATATGTGAATGGGAAAGAGGATTTGAAATATGTAATTTTTTTGGTTGCTAAGATTTGGTGATTTAATGGCTGACACAGTTGTGTGGGTTTTGTAAAGGTTAAAAATAAACTATTTTGTCAAAATTCTTTCTGAGTTACAGCAGGGTGGCAAATATTTATCTTGAATAAATAAAAATGGTATCTGCTAAATTACTTCAACAGTCTTTCTGGTTAGTCAGAGACTGAATACAAGTTTTTAAGAGTCCTTCCCTGGGACTAAAGAGCAGCACGGGATTGTCATTATCTCTTTAGTTGCGCTTTTACCTGATTTCAGGCCAGAGTTTTGTGCAGTGACTGTTGACGTGATCCCAGTTGATTGTGCTTGAATTAAATGGTATATTTCAATGCTTGGACATCCATACTTGGTTGAAAAATTTTCAAGTGATGGATAATTTACCATATTCTTCACAGTTTTATCAGTTGCTAATTCCATGTGTTTGTGCCACTCTATTTTTTTATAAGTGCAGGGATTTTGGTCAGATTGTGTGTGTGTATATATATATATTTTTTTTTTTTTAATGTCTGGAAACTGTTTTTACTGAGTATTTTTTGCTTTTCTTGGACACTATTTCAAGATGCTGCAATTCCTGCCGAGCTTGATTTCTGGACTCAACACGGCTGTGTATGATACCTGTGCATTATGTTTATGCTTGTCATTGTGAGATTATTCATATATCGGTAATAAATGTTGTGCTGGTATCCACGACAAATATACACTCTAATCTTTAATGGGGACTATTTATTTAATCTGTCATTGGATGAACTTAAGTGTTTCTCACATTTCTTAGAGAATCGTATTTGTTGCTTGGCATAAGCAGGAAGTTGAAGCTTTC